GTCAATTTACTTGTTAAATGCTAGTTTACATGTGTGTTTTCTTGGGTGATTTCCAATTTCGATTTCATAGAAACAAACACTCACAAATTTTAGCAAAATATTAAAAAGGCCAAAAAATTAAAAAAAGAGCACAACAATATATTATATAAGATATCTTAAATGTGGAACTATTCTATATGATGTTTTAAAACTTAGTGTCTGTCATTAAAGCACCAGTGGTCTAGTGGTAGAATAGTACCCTGCCACGGTACAGACCCGGGTTCGATTCCCGGCTGGTGCATGAGCTGTGACGAAATTGACTTCAGCGTTGGTTGGGTCCTTCGCATTCTTCTGATTTCTCAGATGATATCGCCACACTCCTGAGCTCTCCCTTTTTTTTTCCTAATCTTTTTCTTTTTTTTAACACCGTAAAAATTTGTATGCAGTATTTGATATCTCACACTCCGATAATTTGTCTGCTTCAAGTTTCGAGTTCCAACCGATGCAACTAAGGTCCTGACTTTGATTCATGATTGGGCCTCATATAGTGAGCATCTTTTTTGCACAAAAAAAAAAAAAAAAAAAAATAGTGAGCATCTTTAATATGGGCTTTATATATATGGGTCTGGTAATCCGAGTCAACTCCGTTTCAGTTCAACCTCCGATATAACGCGTTGTCGCGTTCCCATCTCAAACTGTCGCAGAAGCAACTGCTTCCCTCTCGTCGCCAGGCCATCGAAGCTTCTATGGAAGGTTCTTCTACTCTCCTTCTTCTTCCGTTTAATTCTTATGAGGAACTGGGATCTATCTGCTTAATTGGTTAACCGGATGCATTTGTTTGCAGAGAACAACAACGCCGGTAGCGATTCCGACTCTAATTCCGTCGAAGATTCACAAAACTATTACGAACCGATCTCAGCCGTCGATCTAGATAACGCCGATGACGATGAAGAAGACAGTTGCCTTCCGGTCGGTGGAGATGGTTCTCTAACGGCCATTGTATGATTCCGGAAGCAGAGGGAGGCATCTCTTCTATTAATATAAACGAAAACGCAGAGAGCGAAGAAGAGACAGAGACGGAGACTGAACCGGAGATCCGTAGAGCATTTGAAGAGGACGAATGGCGTCGAAGATCGCCGTTAGTGGCGGAGAACGCCGTTAGGGTTATGGAGGCAATGCGAGCCATCTCGTTCCCTGGTACGGCTCCTGATTGGGCCTCCGATGTTAATGAGGATCGTTGGATTGATCAGCTTCGAAGATTGAGATCCACTTCTCAATAAACTAAACACTACTTTCTCCAATCTCTCGATACTTTGTTTCCGTTGAATATCTTTCTCAATGTTGTTCATCAATGTGACTTCAAAACATTCAATACAAAGAACCAGTTCTTACCCCAACCGAAGATCATGCACCTGATCAAACGTTCCTAGAGATACAAGCGTTGATAACATTCACCAGCATCGAGTTATCACTAGAAACAGGAGTCTTCATGTGCTGCCTTTAACAGAAACTCTGCCAACTCCTCCATCTTTCCACTTTCCAGAAAAATGCCTTTGCTAATTTCATAGAAGTCTCTTCCGCCGCCTGAAGAACACCGTGTTCCAACGTAACCAATTCGACTTGTACATGCAACTTAGCCAACAATGCAAAAATAACAGCCATTGCCTCGGCTTCAAGTTTCAAAAACTTCTTCTCTCTAGAGAACTCATCATACTGTGAACAGAAACCCCTTGAGTTTCAGGTTGGGATTATCGTGTTCTTTAACCTCTAATCCTTTTCATGATAATTTATTGAGATTTAATCTATCATCAACTGCAGTATCAAATCCAAGAATGGCGGCTCCATGGAAGTTCCTTGCTACCTTTCGCCTTTTTAGAATTTCCAGAAACATTTTCGAAGCAGATTCAAGATCCCCGAAATTCAGGTGAAACATAAGCAAGCAGTTAGAGAATTGCCAAAACTGAGACTCATTCAAGTTACAAGCTTCATCGATGTGCCTATTGAAGCTTCCTTAGTTCCTCTCTCCGTCCATTGCTTTCATATATATCAGCTTTAACACCGATCCTCGGTACTATATCCAGAAGCTGTTCAGCTTTTCGTGTTGTCCCAAACAACCCGCCAAAGCAAAGTTCAACGCCTGAGTATAAGGCATCATCGCAAGAAAAGGTATGGTACTCTTCATCCTTGGATCAACTCTGTAATTATGAAACAACCATGGGAGATATAAAAGAGGTTCCTGAAGATCGGTGATATAGGAACAACCATGGGAGATATAAAAGAGGTTCCTACTCCAGTAAATTCTGTTTGCTCTCCTTGTATACTTATTCCACTAAACTTTTGTAGCCAACTTGAATCTCCAAGCTTCATCACATCTATGTTCATCAAATGCAATTTGAATTTCTTCATTGAGTTTTCAGTTTTTAGCAGGATCCCTGGCTTGAAGCAATAAAGATCCAGAAATCGTTGAAAATTTCTATTCTATCGACAGAAAATATATTAAACCTGGTACTAGTACGAAGCTTAGATAACACACTGATGCATGCATTTAGGCAGAATAGTAGTTTCTTCAAATCAAGCTGTAAAGAACAGTGAGATTGAGTACCTGGAGTTTCTTGAAATCATGTTGTAAAGAACACTGAGATTGAGTACCTGTAGTTTCTTCAATGGCGTCGACCAGAAGTATACGAAACAAAGAACTCAAACGACACTGGTAAAGTAAAACACCTTGAAGCTTCGTTTTCCTCCATGACAACATATTTTCTAGTTTAAAAGATCTTACCAACTCTGAAGCTTCTTGGTTGGTATGAGAATTTGATGAAAACTGTCTCCTCGTTTCATTCAGTCATTTCGTCGAGCACTTGGAGCGCGACCTAAACAAGCAAGCATTGAACAAAGGGAGATTAGGACACGAAAAGAAAAGCTTTATCGAGCAGAAGACTAATTGCAGAAAGACAATGTGGTCTTTGACCATCATCCTAGAATTTTGCTTAACCGGAAAATAAAGAGAACTTTGTGAAATAAGACAGTTTTAGTTTGTTTGACAAAAAAAAAAAAAAAAAAAGACAGTTTTAGTTTTGGCGACAAAAAAAAAAAAAGAAAAAAAAAGACAGTTTTAGTTTTATATTTTTAATTAGCAAAATAGGAAAGTTTATGTCTTTTGTGTGTAGGAGAGACACCTAAAAAATTCTCTTATATAAATCATGTTTTTTGCTTTCTTGGTCAAAGTAATTTTTTAAGCAATTTGTCAATTAGAGAATAACTCATACGGTGAATAATAATTTGTTGATTGGGATTTCATAGTTTTATCAAGCATTGAACAAAGGGAGATATGTTCAATTAATATATTTTTGAAGATAATAAAATTATTTTTTTCATGAAAAAAAAAAAGAATTTAAGTATTTGTTCCTCATCAATTTTGGAGAGGAACATTTTAGTTATATTGTTCCGCACAAAAGAAGAACAATAGAACAAAAATGAGGTTACTATGTCCGATCTAGATAACTAAAAGAAAAACAAAACTTAAAAATAAGCATAAGTTATAAGTTAAACCAACACTATCCAATAGTAATATTTTCTATTGTGCCACTTTATCAACGGTAGATAAAAACTTACTATCAGGTTGAAATGTTCGATCCACATAACTAAAGAAGGAAAAAAAAGACTTCAAAATAAGCATAAGTTATCCCATGGTAATATTTTTAAATTTGCCACTTTATTAACAGTAGGTAAAAGTTTATTTTACTATGCATATAATTTTCAATATACTATTAATTTAACAAGAAATTCCTATCAAACTATTTTGTCTATTAATATATTTTGAAGATATGAAAATTATTATATATTTTCTAATTAGTTTAAAATAGAAAACGATTTTTAATATTTGTTCCGCAGGGAGTTATATTTTTATTATATTGTTAACATATTTTTTCAACATTTTTGGTACATTTTTAATATTTTTTAATATTTTTTCCTCATCTCCATCTTCATATTCGTTAGGTTGAATTAAATTGTAGGCATTATTGAGTAGGTTTTCCCAAGTCATAAAACCTTGTGTGTGAGGTAAAAAGTCTCTCACATTCTTGTGGGTTGCGTGGGCAGGATATATTATCAATATACCGTGGCCTGCATTCTTGATTAGTTCAAGCCACGACAAATATCCTCCATCACCACCAATCAAGACAAAAAATTCACTAGGTTCAGCATGGTTTAACCAGGTATTAATCTCACGATAGATTTCAACATCAGAGACTTGTCCACCACCTGAAACATAGAAAAAACAATTAAAAACCAATATGAAACAAAGAAGGATGAAAAATATAACTTACTCTCAGTGCAATTCTTTGTTAGTATATCAGGCTGATGATATAATGCTCTGTATGTATCCCGATGTATCTTTCGGCTGTCGCTTGCATCAGAGACCACCATTCTCAAGTCAAAGACAAATCACCATAATAGCCCTTAGATCGGAGAAACTGTGTTATCGCCGGCTTGATCAAAGCAACGTTAAAACCATTAGGCAATGAAGCATTTTCATATATATATATTGATTATTTAGTGGTTATTCATTGAACGGACTACAATTAGCCTCCATTACAATTCGGGTAACACAAAACACCGCTAAAAATCACATACAATATTCAACTACAATAAAATAAAATTTTAATATATAAATAAGTAATGCAGTCATTGGATTCCAATATATATAGTGTGTCTCATAGTTAATTAAGTAAATATATTTCTTATGTTATAAAGACGTTCCAGATTAAACGAACCACTAAAGAACAAACTAAAGACATTAGCTAGGTGAAGTAGCATTTGACGATTTGTCTCTATTCAACAATAAATTAATAATACTGTGTGAATTAAATCTGTATAGTGACACTAAAACAACCTTTTAAGCTATATGTTATGGTTGATTACCATTTGCACATAGGAAGATGTTCACCAAAGCACCAGTGGTCTAGTGGTAGAATAGTACCCTGCCACGGTACAGACCCGGGTTCGATTCCCGGCTGGTGCATGAGCTGTGATGAAATTGGCTTCAGCGTTGGTTGGGTCCTTCGCATTCTTCTGATTTCTCAGATGATATCGCCTCACTCCTGAGCTCTTTTTTTTTCCCCTCAGATGCACAAACGTCTCTCTGCTTTTGCAGTTATAAAATTTACTCTGCTTTTATATAAATAATCAAGAAAAGTCTCATTCCCAGTGGGATAAAACAAAAGAGTGTCTGACTATGCAAGTTGAAGGGAAAAAATCTTGAATCTGAAGTTTTCTAGCGAGAGAGATGACTAGCAACAGTGATTTTAGTCGCTGCAAAGCCTGCAAACGAACGAATTTAGACAGAGCTTCCTCAAGGTTCTCCAAAGAGTAGATGTTTCGTCTGAAAAACATGGTAACAATGTTCTAAACTCTCCATGTTCTTATGTTATGCAAGTTCTTGTTTGTATAGTTTGAAACTTTTAGTTCTATCTAACAATGGGCCTTGTCTTAAAAGGTTGAATCGTGTTAGCGGTCTTTCAAAGGTGGAACATTTTCGTTAACTGTTGTCTCACTAATGATGATGGATGTGGGGGTGTCTTGGAGAAGAAGCTACTGAGTAATCGAACTGTGTTTATTGGTGTTGTCGTAATCAATATCATTATATGTTTGAGTGACCCCAAAATCGAACTATCAACCCAATGGACAATGGATTCGTTTATTGGCAATTTGGCTGGATATATATATATATATATATGGAAACACGTTCGATGACAACGCACAATAAACTTTGGTTTGTGAATTTGTTAAGCAACTCCATCTCCTTTTGAAATAGAATAAAACGTAGCAAACATCATTGTATACAAAGGAAAATGAAATTTATTAGTCTCCTTTGTTCATTGAAGAACAAACAATGGGAGTAGCAAACAATAAAACTCACAACACATGACCAACACAATTTTATACGTTCTTTCTTGCATATTGGCACCTCAAAAAAAAAAGAATAAATAATCAAAAGTGAATCAAATGAATTGAAAAAAAAAGCCTATTAACAGATAATTTCAGCCTCATCATAATCTTGTTGTCAATAGGCAGAGCTGCTCTCACTAGCAGAGAGAGAAGGTCCTTCAGATTTGACTAAGCTTGAGCTATTGCTACTTATCTCTAGCCCTTGCAATCGCCCGTTCTGTAGAAACTCCGATACGCTTTGAGAATTCGACATCTCCATAGGATTGAAACTAGAATGCATCTGCATATCATGGACGTTCATTGAGCCATGATATGGTGGAATTGCCATGAACGTTGAAGAAGAATACTGAATCTGCTGCATTCCCATATCAAAGGAATCTGAATTACCAGAGATTTCTCCTGTCTCCATCTTCATCCTTTCAACTTCTTTCCTCAACGCTTCGTTTAGAGCTGTAAATCAAACGCAAAATATTGAAGATCACAGAGGCAGAAGAAATGCACCAAAATCCATACAAAGAAATTAGCTTTTTTGCTTACCATTACGAAGCTGAGCTTGTTGTTCCATTGCTTGTAACCTGAGTTTCAGCTCTGTGTTTTCGTTTGCTAGTCCATTTGTATCTCTCTGATCAATCAAACAACATTGAAATAAAGATTTGTCCATGTGTGTAAAACAGAGCAAAGAACCGATCGTTATTCTGTTGGAATGGAATATAGAAACCTGGTAGAGAGTGAGCTGAGCAGAGAGCGTGGTAGCTTCGGTTTGAAGAGATTGAACTTTACGCTCAAGTTCTTGAATGTATCGAGCTTTTCTCTCCTTGGATCGAGCTGCAGATTGTCGATTCGCTAAAATCCTGTAATCAAAATCCCAATCCCTAATTTCATTGCAATTCTTCAATTCTATAAGAGAAACAAATTTGAAGAAGAGGAAGAAGAAGAACCTTTTGGCGCGTTTGGGATCGATGTTCCAAAGCTCAGAGAGTTTTTCAGGAGGCATAGCTTTCTTAGCGTCCATGATTTCACCTGCATACATGGCGCATCCAGCGTCAACGGAATTGCTGTGGCGGTGGCGAGGACGAGAGGACGGCGGAGGAGGATTGGCACCGGAAACGGAGTTGGAGGAGAGGGAAGGATTAGGAAAGGGATTGGGATCAGAGGTGAGGCTATCGACGTCGATGAAAGAAGAGAAGAGATCGTCGTCGGAGGGAAGGTCGTCGGAGGAAGGTGGTGCGCCGGAGGAGAGGGGATCCATGAACATGAACATTGACATATCATCGGAGCGAGATCGGCGGTGGAAGGAAGAAGATGGGATCGGATCGGAGGGGATGATAGTGGCGGGCTTTGGTGGAGGAGGATCTGATTTCTCCATTTTTGTCAGGAGGATTTGAGAGATGAATGAATGCTGCTTGTGTGAATTATTATTAAATGAGAACAATGTCAATGGAGATAATGATGGAGATTGGAGATGAAGACGAAGCTCTTTCTCTCTCTCTCTCTCTATGGAAATGAAGAGCGTAGGAGAGGAGGAACTCAACTGTGAGGAGAGAGAAGTGACGTCACTAACTATAATTTGCCCAATTGATATTTAATTAAAAGAAAACTAGTTGATGAAAAAGTAAAAGGCACATTGGCACGTGAAGCATCGCAGCTTGTTGTCTCCCTACTTTCTTTTTTTTTTTTCTTTTTGTATTTAAGTGATTTTATGTTTTAAAATGGTTTAATTACAAGTTTGTGTAGTTGCTTCATCCAAGTTTTAAGCACTTGTTATTATTGCATAACATCTCCCCACGTCTGACTCTTAAGATTTTCGTATCTTTGAGTCACAAAATTTAACAAGGCAGAAAGTCTTTGTATGAAACAAAATATTTCTGAGAGAATGTTATATGGGATAATTTGATGGATTGGAAAACAATTAAAAACTCAGTTAGTGAAGAAACTTATCGTTTGACGATCAACAAATAAAGATTCTTTTGGAAGCTTCAATGTTGGTTGGAAGAAGTGTAGAATGTGGGTCTTAGTTATCAGGCCCATAAAACACAGGTAGGTATTCCTTTGTTTTAAGAAATCTTTGAGCGTCTAATGCTCAGTGGATGCTGGATAGAAGGTCGTAGGTTCGTTTTGGTAATTCGTGAGGAGGGTTTTGGGCCTTCTCTTAATTTGGCAATTGGGCATCATTTTATTTACCGGTCAAAAAAAGAGCATTGATTGCTTTTAATAAGTCTCTAAAACGCCAGAAGTGGACCGGCATCATTTAATAACCTTGACCTTATAGCACTTAATACCTAATGATGCTTACTTATTACCAGCTAAAGTTTCCTTTGCTTTTTGTTTTATTTAATTATATTATTTATCAACATACTTAAGATTTAGAGATAATCCACAGAGAGAGGAAACCCACAAATTATATATGTATATTGTAGACTTACTGTCACATAATGTTTGTTTTTTAAAAACCAAATTGTGTAGGAAAGTTCTTCTCTCTAAACAGAATAATGTGTATGCTTTTAATAGTGCCCATTGTATTTCTTATTTAAGTAATTTATTCCAGCTGTTTTTTTTCCTTGTTTAGTTTCTCTGCTATTTTTGTGTCCCTAACTTTTTTTTTTCTTCCGTCTGTGTGTTATATTATTTGCTTTCAAAGTTTCAATCTTAGTCATAATTATAATACTACTAAACATAATGGCTAGAACTATTTAATCACACTTGTACAAATTAGTTGATAATCAACACCATTTTCCAATAAAAGTCGTTAGGAAACCTTCGTGACTTTAGTATCGTGGGGACCAAAATGAACATAGAGATCGATATATATGACCAAAGTCAAAGTGCCATATATATGAAATATTTCAATATACCCATAACCCATGATTGATTTCGTCTATTTGTTAATGGTACAGTACAACCTCTATAAATTAATACTCGATAAATTAATAAACACGATAAATTAATAAATTTGACCGGTCCCGAGTCGGGCCAGTGTAAAATTTAACCAAATTCGATAAGATAATAAGATAATAAATTTTTTGAAATCCCTATATAAAAATATAGTCCCAATAATGTCATAAATTAATAATCATGTAAATTTGCACATACATATATATATATATATATATATATATATAATAGTTTTAGTGTTTTTCATAAAAATAGCCAAAAGTTTTTGTAAGTTTTTAAATTTTGAATATGCATAATTTTTGTTTTAATAGTCGTATAGGTTTTTAAAATACAAAAATGAATGTCACTATTTGTGAATTTTAATTTATGTATATCGTTTGTATATGTGAATTCTATAATCGTTGTTATTCATTGTCAAAATAAATTATTTTTTCTTCGAAATATTAAGTGTTTAAGGCTAAAACTATAAAGTTTATAACATCCAAAACATTAATTTTATTTAGATCACATTGTTTTAGCTCGTATTTTTTAAAAAAAAATTTCCACAATTGAAACAAAACTTTCTATAAATTAATAAATATTAATTTACACTATAAATTAATAAGTATTAATTTATAGATAAATTAATATCACTATAAATTAATAAAATATCATGGTTCCAACATTATTAATTTATAGAGGTTTTACTGTATATGCGTTTTTTAATTATACATAAAAAAAAATATTAGAATACAAAGTGGGATAAAGAGGTAACTTTATTGACAATATTTGTAAATTCATCGCACTCGGCAGATTTACCTACCTACTGTCATTAAAAAGAAATAAAAAAACGACAAAAAGGTCAAAGACAGGTCAGACAAGGAATCATTAAACAAAGGAAGAAAAATAGCAAGTGTAATGGTTTTGACGGAAGAAGAAGGTGAAGTTATGGCGGCGGCGAAACGGAAACTTTTGCTGACGTTCCTCCGTCGGTCTCATCCATTACCTGAAATAGTCAAACTTAAGAAAATGTCGTATTATCACTCTTCAATGCTCCCACCCAACATCAACCACTTCCCTCTTACTTTGTCTTCTGTTTCTTACTTGGTCATGGTCGTTTCCTTTTAACTCTCTCTCTCGCGATTTCGTTTCTTCTTAGGTCTCCTCTGTTTCCTCCTCTCTCGATATGTTTTCGACCCATGTCTCTCGTCTCCTACCTTTGCTCTTCTTCTTCCTCTTCTGTTGCTGTTCTTCTACTTTTGCTCAAGACGACATCACTAATCCCGTTGA